CTCTTTCCCCCTCAAAAATAAAAACCTAAAACCCAGCACCGTAGGATCTAAACTGCTGGAAAAAGAACACTTAATTAGTTGGAGAATTTTGTTTATCTTTTTTTTTAAATGGTGAAACATGATCATCTAAATAGACTGTGTTTATGCTTATTTTTAGCAAGAACTCTACCCAAGAGTAAACTAGGGTCCTAACATTTTGTTTTTGTTTTAAACTGAATGCAGGGCAATTAGCTGCTACAAGAAGTTTGTAAAATGGTCACGGCCTTAGGCATTCAAATGTCAGAGTTGGCTGCTGTGTGATACAATGAGCAATTTCCTTCATTTTTACTGCCCTTCTGAATCTTTTATTGAGGTAGGCTGTTAAAACAAATCCTTAAATTGTTCTGCTTCCTACCAACAGCCTTCAAATTTGTACATACACCTTCCTGATAGCCAGCTGCTAACAAATGCTCTGTAATGATTCTTCAGATGGCGTGCCTGCCACTTTGTCATACAAAAGAGAATGGAATTCAGGGCTGATCCTCCAAAATTAACTATGCCCTCCAAATTCTGAGATGGGTGGCCCTCTCATAGGGAAGACATCTCTGTACATCAGTAGACAGAACCATTGCAAATCTAAAGTTCTTGATTTTCTCAATAAAAAAGGTTACATCTTTCAGTCTATGCCTGAAGGTCAGAAGGGCTGAAGAGATTTCTACATGAAAAATTTGACATGGTTTTCTTTTTCTAGATCATTGAGCAAAACTATTTTAAGGCTCTGTGCTCTGAAATGGAGCTGGCTGGAAACAGGCTCACAATACAAAATTACCACAGAAGTGTAAAACATCTTTTGAGGCCCACTGAGAAGATCTGAACAATTATACTAAGCCTTCTCTAGAAACTTAGAAATATGAAGCAGAATTTTTGAGAGCCTTTACAGAAGAAGAGTGAATGGGAAATTTATATCATGATACTTCACTCTACTCTTAGGGAGAAAAAAGGGAAAGGTCAGTAATCCAAGAGTTCTGAAAAAACTGAAAGTGAACTCAGGTCAGGAGTGTCAAGATTAGGGCTAGATGAAATTTTTCAGACCAACTCAGAAAAATCAGAATTTTTTCAGATAAAAACTGACAAATCCAGGTCAGCCAAACATTTAATGAATTTGTGCCATTTTGGGTGAACTGATTTGATTTAAATGAACTGTTTTTTCATTCTTTAAACACACACACACACACACACACACACACACACACACACACACACACACAATCCAGATTTTTTTTTTCCATGGTACACTCACCAGGGGATTTAGACATGTAAAGATAGCGGTGGTGTGGGAAACCCAGCAGGGACTGGAACCCAGTCTCCCCCTCTCAGATGAGTACTCTAACCACCAGATGACTGTTGTCTATTCTGGGATGGGAGGAGGTGGTACCAATATCTCTTGCTGAAGCAGTTTCACTTTGTATAAACAATTAGCAATTGGAGCATGGAGTCGAACCCTGGCCTTTCCCACCTCTCAGGTGAATGCGCTACCAGGCCACAAGTCACACATGTTCTCTCCCTGGCCCAATGACTACTCAAGTATTTTATCAAAATATTTTATTATTTTTGTATATGGCACTGGTGAGAACTGTACTGGAAAACTGGTGGTCTCTTCCTAAAAATAGGCCTCAATACCACCACAAGATAATATATTCAATGCAGGAATTACTGAGTGAAATTCTGTGACCTGCATAACATTGGCAAGGACATGAACACACTGATCCTTTCTGACTACTTAGGGTACCATCTAGACTGCGTTGCTCTTTTGGGATACTGAAAGTATCCCAAAATAGCAACGCCACATCTTTAAAAGCACCCACTATTTCCCAAAATAGTAGGAGTGCTATTCCGGCATCCCTGTAACCTTCAGTTAAGGGATTTGTTGGAATAGTGCCTTATTTTGAAATCTGGCACTATGTAGACAACGCCAAATTTCTATATAAGCTCTTTCAATTTAAACTCGGAATAAGCTACGCAATTTGTGCTACGTGTAGCACAATCTGCGTAGCTTATTCTGACAGAAGGTTGCTGTCTATACGTACCCTTAGGGGAAAAAAACCTCTCTTAACATGGAGCTAAGGTTGCTGTCACATAATAGGATCTTTCCTATACACCTCTGGAACGTAGGACTTCAAAACTCAAATATGAATTATTCACTTCAGGTCTTCTCACATATCCTCAAAAGAACGTTAGCGTGACAAGAAATGCCACCCTCCCCTTACTCTCAAACAATCATTCTTATGCAAGTCAGGAGACCTGCACACAACTTTAGCTCTAATCTATGAATAACACAGCTCAGCTAAGGAATCTGTACACTTTAACTGGGAGCTACAATTGACTCTTAATTGTTCATTCTGCAGTTAAGAACAAAATATAACCTTAAAAAAAAAGTTAACTTACAGAGCTTGTTCTCAGTGCTAGACAACAGTTCTCACTGCATGCTTCCTTCCCATATTCCCAAATGTGCACCATATATTCTACCCCGACCCTTACTAATTTTCACATAGGTTTGACTGAGATTTTAAGGAAGCTTGCAAGTTTGATTGTAAGCAGAAAACACACTGCAATGTTGCTTATGGTATCACCCTATCATTCAAGGCTTTGAAGACTAGTTTGGGTCTTACAGTTTGGCTGCCTTTCCTAGATGGAGATCGTGTGAATAATGTCAGCCCTGAAATTCACTAATATTTAACAATATACATGCTAAATAGCATGTGTATATTGTAAAGTACATTTATTGAACTTCATCGGACCTGTATGTGGCCCTGCCAGTTTTGGGAACTGGATTTAATTCCTTTTCAAGAACCATTCAAGTCCTAGGTTTCTTAGATTCTATACTGGGTCTGATAGTGCAAAGTAGTTAAAGCTTTCCACATGGTACTGAAAGTGCATCAATGAGCATTTCAAAGGATTTAGCACTTTGCTGGAGGCACTCTGAACTTAGCAGGTTCAGGCTCATTATTAGAGCGTTTGTTCCTGGACTTCTCCTAATTCTAATGGCTGGTTAGAACATTTCTCTTAATAGACTCACTTTTTTTCTGTATTGTCTTTCATCTCCCTCTACAATGTAACTTGGGGACTTTATGCTAGTGTGGAGGTGTTTTCTCCCTTTTCTTAAGGTTATATGTGCAGCTCAGTATGTTCTATTCAGGTTTCATTTATTATTAAACTCAGTATATTAAATACAAAAAAGGCCTTTTAGCTATGTACAGGGAGTATCGTTAGTGTACCTGCCATTAGATATGGGCCTGTAATCTTTTGTGGAACAAAAACACCATTAACAGATTTTTTTAACAGAGATGCCCCAGAACTGAAAGCTCTTCAGCTGACGAATTCAAATGCCTTGCTGTGTAGAAGAAATGTGAATTAACTTTCTGAAATGAAATTCATGACTTTAAGTGAGTCTCTAAACAGATTAACAAACATTACTTTGGATAGTAACACTGGGAGTATTATTATCCGTTTCACAATGACAGTAGTGAAAATGGGCAGGGAAGAGAGGTATAACAGATTACTAGGCATAAATAGTAAGTACTGTATTTCTCCCTCAGCACTGCTAAACAATTCAATCTAAATAAAAAATGCACTGCAAGTTGTTGCACCAATTCTTGCTCAAAAGTGGGAGGCTGCGAATAAACTACAATGAAAAAAAAAGACGACAATGCTTTGTCAATGGATACGATTAAAGTTTGGAGGAACAAAATTATGACTATTTGTCTTTAGCAAAATTTGGCACCACAGTTGAAAATATTTGCATTTCAATTTGCACTTTCTAAACCTTGTATATTTTCAGCTACATTTGTTTTGATGGGTCTATCAGGGGAGCAATTGTCTGCGCATTGAGCAACTGGCAAGAAACAAACATGAAAGAGTGGTATGTTACTATAAACTAAAAAAAAAAAAAATTACATTTTCACTAAAAATGAAAATAAACATTGTGTCTGCTAGGGTAATTGCTTAGTATATTGCTTACAAAGAGCCAACTCCACGGTAGTACATCCACAAAACTAACAGTTTCCAATTTGTCAAGCCCCAGTAAGATCGGGAGGGAGTTAATACCTCCTCATCAAAGTACCTGCAGCAATTAATATGGGTATAACACTGTGGCCCATTGACTGGCACATGCAGCTCAGAGAACATCTGCTTCAATGCTTTCACAGAAGAAAAAAATAAAAATAAATCAGCAGAAGTGGTCTTTACTACCTTGTATATACACTTGTGTAAGTCGCTAAGCACTCCCTTCTTCTGCTCCTCCTCCTTCTCAATCTCTTTTTCCTGAGCAAAGAGTCGCCGCCTGCCCGTTTTCAACGGGATATCAACTTCTTTCAACTTGTTACGGAAGCCATTTTTGTGAACCACACCATTGATGAGTCCATTTTTGGGCTCAAACCGGGGCAAGGAATGGAACTTATAGGCATTTTCTGAATGTCCCTCCAAAGGACCTTTCCTCTTCTCCAAGATCTCCTTTTCCAGCAAGACTTCCTTCTCAAGTTTCTTGTGCTCGTCCGAGGAGAGGGAGTCATAGGAGAGCAAGTACTGGCAGTAGGCTTCCTGCAGCTTTGCTAGCCTGTCCTGTGCGGTTTTGGGGATGCGCAGCATATCTGCCAGTTTGTTCCATTTCTTGAGGTCAGTTACTTGCTGCATGCCGCCCATTTCATTGATCAGCTGGAAAAAGCAGGCCAAATCTAGTTCACAGCCTCCTGGAGTCCATGTGTGGAGGAGGGTGGGGAGGAAAGAGGGAAACACAGGGAGCCGTTAGGAAAATTGTTGGCAGACTGCATTGAACATTTCTTCAATACTCGTACAATACCAGATTCTGTTCAGTTGGGACATTCCGTTCTCACAATATCCCCAATAATGCAAATACGTAAAACAATAGACCAGTCATATATTCAGTATTTCCATTTTAAAAGTAACCCAAGTATTGCTCAAGTTAAGATACAACTGAATTGCTAAGATTATTAATAAAGGAGATCTTATTTTGATTTTCACATTAACCTTCCCCACATGTACTTTTTGCCTCTGTTATAGGTTTGGTTGCCATCTGTTGTCACTTGACAAGTCTGAGTCCCACCTCTACCTTATTAAAAGCAAGGAGTTGAATCTAGGTCTCCCATATTCCAGATGGGTATCCTAATGGGTATTCAGCTATTCTGAAAGCATGCCTCCCAATCTCTCTCTTTGTCCCATTCCCAGCCTCCCTGAAATTTCATTCCTGAACCTGAGAAACCTTCCCAGTGAATTTTTAGTCAAAAATTAGTTTCCACAAAACATTTTGGTTTTGAAAAAAAAATCAGCATTTTTTACACCGACACAAACCCAATCAGTTGTGTCAAATTCCTAACCACCTTTTATAGATGTAGTGCAGAGTTTGACGTCTATATAAAACTTTCAAAATATAAAACATATAAGAGCTAAATATTACTATTAACATTAACCATTTTTCTACAGTAGTAAACAAACACAAGGAGAAAACTAGGAGGTAAAAATGAGGAAAATGGTGATTCACATTTCCATCAGCATCACAAATATGTTTCTGTCAACTCAGTCACACATTTCATTTGTTTGGGCCCATCTAAAGCTTTTTACTTTAGATCAGAGAGTGGCATCTTCTAGTAATTTAATAACCCTTTAAGATGCTCTTTTGCACTTTACACTGTGTGTTAATCTTACAGTTTCTAAAATTACCAGGAGAATTACACATTACACTCTGAAAAACTTTAGTCAAAAAAAAAAATGAAGACTATACAAACTTAAATGGCAGCATAAAGAGTCAAATTAATGATAAACTTTCAATTCAAAAATAAAAAAAATGTTTAAAGAAAATCTCAGTATCATGCTTAGTCAAAGGCCAGAATTAATTATCAACAGAAAAGGTAAACAAACTGACCAAAAACTGCTTATAAATAGGGAGGACACTGCTATAGGGAAAAAGCCCCACAACACTATTGTCATCAGCACTGTTCCAAAGTCACCCTTATCTCTTCTTTCCATCCTAAGAAAGTCATGGAAACATTAAAGATTAGAAGTTTCTTAATGTTAATTTAATACAGCTTGGAAATAGTACAGCATCTGAGAAATGGCAGGTGGCTGGATGTGTACATCCCCTGCAAATAAATCATACTGTCTTGCAGTATTTCATAGCCACTTTCAGATTTCTGATCTCCTCCATTCTCTTCCTTTAGAGTCTTCCCCCCACTGCAAAACTTCAGCACCTTCTACTGAGGCAAACTCAGTAATGAGGCTCAGATACCTGGAGGCACATGGAAAGTTTGTGCAATTTTTCAACAATGCTGCAATTTTGGGGAGAGTCCCTTATTAAAATGTGAATAGTGCATCACTGGTTAGAAGATAAAAATGCCTCTCCCTAGACTGCAGAAGAGTTTGTACTGGTGCTGAAACAACAGGTAACAATTTTCCAAGTGTTTCACAAATGCCCTAGGGTAGGTCAAAGTGCAGAAAAAGTCTGTCCTATATAGCAATCATTCTTAGTTGAAATAGTACAACTTCCAGCCCAGAGGACAGGGATGGTGAGAGCAGCACAACAGGAGAAAGGAAACAAATCTGAGAGGTAGCTTAAGTTTTGCTACCTTTAATGTTTCATATAAAACAGCACTCCAGCAATACACAGCTTTTTTACTCATGCACACAGCTGACAAACAAATGGAAGGTATGTGGTCTGCATGAGTAACAACCCTCCAACTCTGAAAGACTGTTAATGGCTCAGTTTCGTATTAAATAGTTTTGTAATACAACAAATATCTGCATGCTCAGTTTAAATCACCAATCTCAAAACATTTTATCACACACTTAAAATTGTTAATGTTCTCGAGCATAAGATGGAAGTTACTTTGGAATGTCAGAGCTCAAGTTCCTTCACCCAGTAAGTATGCTATATTACAGCTGGTGCTCCAGAACACCTGCCCTCATTAGAGAGTGTTAAATGGTTTCAATTACAACCCCATTTCATATGGGTCATAACTTTCTGAAGCTCTCATTTTAGGGTGAAACTTTCAAAGGTTGGTCTCTGCCTGCCGGTTAATATATATTTTAAATGTTATGAAAAAATGTTAACCCTTTATTCTTTTAAAAAAGGGATCAAAGCAAATGGCTGACAATGTGACAGTGTTGGGATTATTTGAAAATTGCACACTGAGCAAATTTTGTGGAAAAAAATCTTCAGGTTAGCATTTAAGGCTAAATCCTGGCCCCACTGAAGTCAACAGCAACACTCATAATGAATGATCTCCAGTGGAAATGGGATTTGATCCTGAGAGCAGGATGCACGTGTGTCACTTGTTAGCTCAAAGAATGTAAAGTCTCTAATCCATGCACTAGGATTTAAGATTCATCTTCCCCTCAACTCTGTTTTAATTTTAAACTTAACATACATAATCTTTACCCATTTAATTTCCTAAGAGTAACAATCTTAAAGCTGAGACCAGGTACACAAAAACCAGAAAATGTCATAAAAAGTTAACATTGTATCAGCAGATTATTAACTCTGCCATATTGCACATATGTATGATCTTCCTCCTTCCCTTGACAATGTAAACATGAATATAA